TGGAGACCATTCCGAATTTTCTGACTTCCTTGTAATCTCATATTTGTTCTTTACTGGGAAGTATCGGACATTTATGAATCGTGGTTGAAGTGAAATCGTTGTTGCGTGACGCGCGTATCCCTCGTTTATAATAATTGCTCTATAAAGTCGATGGTTTAAGTAGATGTCACTTCGAATGGAGATTTGAATTGGAATGCAAAGTGAAAGGAAACATTTTGCGGGCCAACGGACAAGATGAAAAACTAGAACGGCGTGTTCACTCGGAATGATTCGATACTCGACCGAGAAAGCAGTTTTTCGTAAGAATATGTTAGTGGCAATGTTGCTCTCGCGAGTTATTTATGACGGTACGTCATGCCCCTGTGGTATTCAGTAACGGGCCGCGTTTGCTTCCACGTTGCGCATCTCATATTTCTCACTTTATTCAGATTTCATAATTCTTTTTTGTCTGGAGATAACAGTGGAATTGTGAGTATCTCGCGTCGCGTCTAAATTATTACGGAATTGTGCGTGCACATTACACGGGCAAAGAATCGCCGCATTAATAAATACAGATTCTAGCTACGTTTCCAGTAGAGGACTGGAAATGAGCTTTTTTTAGCGCGTAGACTTTTTAGTGAGAGAGTATTGGAATGTTAACACGTTCCGTGCCACGTGTACCATCGATGGTACACGCTTGCGTGTTTACTTAGTGAACTGAACAAATTGTTTACAAGAAATTTAGAACCGAAGAATCAATTTCCACCGCAAGAATGGGCGTTGATAAGTTTTTGTTACGTTGTTATGTGTACGAGAATTAATAATTGCACGTAATACATCAAGTTTTAGTAAAATATCAAAGTGTGAAGATTCGAGTAAAAAAAGCTCGGCACGGAACGTGTTAAGCGAAGGCAGAAGACATACACATGACCCGGAGAGAAACGATAATAAAGAATTGAAATTCTTTCGAGATGATTGTTCTTTTTAAATATTTCGCTCATTACACATCTGTTTTCATTTCATCTTATATTTTCTCCTACGCCAATCAATGAAGATATCTTTTTTTGCTTTAAGACACTCTGTAAACATTCTATTAGTTGCTTTATTGAATTTTTTGGAAAGTTTCGGATATCTAACGTGTCATATTTCGATTTTATTTCGACATTATCAAGGAGATATTCTACTGTAAATAGCATTTCTGTTTAACCTTCTTTGGGAATTTTCTGCGTAGAAACTATAATATCTTTTTGTAGTCGTGTTTACAAGGTGTATTTATGTATGCATCAATAACGTTTAACAATTTTTTGGTTTAAAAAAAGTTTAAAATTGATGACACTGGCTACTGTGAAATATAGTCGAATTTCAAAAAGATCATCCCATGGTCACCTTGATTGCAGCCACTCTGTTTATCTGAAATGAAAAGACGTGTAAGATTCTTAAGTAGCATAGGTTTGGCTACAGCAGCGACTAGAACAAAAGAAAAACATCTCTATATTTAAAAAGATGGCGACACTTTGAATATTGATCATCAATTTTTCCTATCGATTTTTCAATATTCGGTTGAATCCAACGATTTGATTGAACCAATTTTTGGGTGTTACCAGGAAGGCAATTGGTTAAGTAGATTTTGAGATATTATGGTCACCGTTTTAAAAAAACATGCTTTCGAGAAAAACACATTTAAGGTTCTGAATACCAATACTGAATGATCAATCAGCTGTAATTCTTTTCATTTGAAGAATTCAGACCTAAGGTTTTCTAGATGTATCTTTGAATCTAGATTCTTCAAGAAACTGCAACGAAAGAAAATTGATTTTCCCAAAGATTTATACTAGAATACTCGTTTAATGAAAACAGTATCGATTTCGCGATACCATTATTAATCACAAAACCAATGATTACTTGGAGTTACTGCACGAAGCATCGTCTGCTCGAATTAAGATTTTCATTTTCTTACATGCAATTTGACATTCCGTTATTCCACGGACGTATAAATATTCGTGATCGCGGTTTCTGTTCGATACACCATCGTCAACTATAATCGAAGTTCCACTTATGCCAACCACGTTTCAAAACACAACGACGAAAGCAACGAAAGCGAAAGCCCCTAGGATCGCCACGACAAGCTTCTATAACTGCGGCTGCTGTAATTTTTCTCATTCCTCGCCAGTCCGCGGTACCACCCGGACATTTATCTCCACGAGCGGCGATATTATAATCCTCTCATAAATTTCTGCGATCCGTTAAACGTTCAAAAAGACAAGAACGAGCCAGCTGGCTAGAATTCTTGTTTTATTTGGCGGCACGTTTCATTCGCTGGGCAGCGATCCGCCGAGCCGACTACCTTCGAATCGTTTCTCCGCGCGCAATTAACGCAATTAACACGTAGACACACGGTGGGATTAATATTATGATGTTATCTGTTGTAACTGTGGCCCCGCTGAGATAGGTTTAGTTTCATCCGTTCGGTTAGAAAATGTGCAACAAGAAAGTTTATCACCGACGAATGAATTCGACGTGCATTCGAAGAAAATTCATCCATTTCTTGCTGCAAGATATTTACACGAAATGAGTGGCTCAGAATCATAGTGACGTGAGAGTCACATTTTTGTAATTGCGAGAACCGAGGAGAATACAGGAGAATGACGACAATAAAAATATGCCGTTTTTTCTACCTTTTATCTGAACTTGTAACGAAAATTTTTGCAGCTTGTGGCGGACCAGACATAAAAAGACACGTCCTTCAAAAACGGGGTGTGCATATGCCTTTTTCGGGTTTTCCCGACGCAAGGCGTACACACCGCAATAAAACAATAAAAACGTTGGGACACAGCTTCGGACCTTAGGTCCCGGATCACCCCGGTCGGAAAATCTTCGGGAAAGGCCTTCGCCCTTCCCAAGGACTTTCCCTTACCAATTTCAATACGTTCTCCCCAATAAATACGAGGACCTCTCGACCGGGAGAAGTCAGTTAGCAAGTTTTCCTCCGACTCTCAACGTGTCCATATTTCTGTCTCATCCGTCACTCGTTTACCTTTACCTTCTACACACTGTACCTCATCGCCTTTTGTTACAAGTTATATTAAAGTTCTCGTTATATAAAAACCAAAAAAACTCTCTCGGATTATTTTATATAAACCGTCGCAGTAACCCCTGCGACAAAAGCTCTCTGTAATCTATATGCAGACTGAATATTTTATTGCAATCGCTTGAAGTTATTATGGACTAGAAATATTTAAAGATAGCAAAATTCAGTTTCTTGCGACTTTCGACCAATAAGTGCAAGGAATCTCGACATTTGTCTAAACATATGACGCTGAGTCAAGCTACAGGCATTGAAAAGTGTAAAAATTCTTGATCTTTTACGGTTATTGGTTGAAAATTGGGACAAACTTGCGATTCTCGCGATCTTTAATCAATTAGTCTTTAGTTATTAATTGTAACTTTGGTAACCTATGTGCGCACTGAAAATGTCACCGAAATTGGTTGACCTTGATATTAGCTGTAAATAACTAATAATCGCGAGATTCGCAGATCTGTCCCAATTTTTGACACTGTCCACTAACATCTGTCAGATATTTACTGTTTTTTTTATATCTTTCTACAATTGCAGCTTGACTCTGCATTAACCAAAGTCGATGGAATTTTTAGTATGCCTATGAATCACCGAGATCTACAAGATTTTTTAAATTTTCGTTATATACTTAGATAAAAAAGATGAAAAATATGAGCTCTTTATTTTTTTTTATCATTCCAAGTAATAGCAAAATTAAAAAGAAGCATTTTATTCACCGTTTAATACACCAGTCCTGCTAAAAATATTCAAGAGTCACATAGTCCAGTTTTAAAAGATTTATTGCGCTTGAAAAGGTGTACAATCAATTTTGCGAGTAACAGTATAAATGGGGTTCGCGCAAACGGTGTTCTACAATGCTCGTACGTTCTTCTGTATAACAGTGTAGAAGCAAACGAACAAGAACAGCTACACACTTGACTCGAAACCACAATATCTAGAAAGTGAAAGCCTTGAGACTTATGTTTTTGCGTCGCAACCATAACTCTCGCTTTCTCGTTTCCGCGACGGAGCCCGCTGTAGAGGTCCGCAGGATCCCCTCGGTATTCCGTAGATCCTTATCTATCCCCCGTGCAGAAGTTTTTGCCGTTGTTGGACAAGCTAAGCCACGGCTCGACGATGGTCGGAATGACGTGCGACCTACGACGCTATAAGTTTTCATTATAATGCCAGGTTTGCTCGCGCGTATGACGACCATCCCTGACGAGTTTCATGACTGGCGGAAGGATGTCGCGGAAACGGAACACTACCAAGTTACGCTCATTCTCATGGACGGATTTTTCGCTGCGTCTTCTTCGCCGGGTTTCTTTCAGTTTCGCTTTCTGTCGGCGACAGCGCGCGAAGAATTACGTTTCTCATTGCGCAGAGTGCTCCCCAGTGACCCAGATGCAGCCGACACCGGGCTTTAATTTATTCGGTAATGACGAGATACTGTACACTGTAGACGCAGAGACGCTCGGCTCCGTTTACCGAGCTGCCTGCCCGTGCTTCTTTGTCAAGTCGCTCCGTAAATTCTGCCGTTCTTGAAAAACCACGCCTGTAATTTATTGGCCGCGTGGTCGTGGTCGAGAAAATGAAAGGGTGCCACTTCCTGCAGCGTCGTCAGCTTGATTTTATATTAAGCAGCGATTTTACACATAAATCCTGACACATCTTTGAATTATTCATCGAAATTAGAACGTAAGTGCCGTGTACTTACCGTACATACTCGAGACAAAGATCATCATTGGGCGGTTATATTACTCGTTAACTGAGAATGTTGAGAATTTACGGGAAAAATTCATCCTTGAGATAAGGTAACTATCGGGGCTTTTACAAGCTTTCTCATGTTTAAGCAGAACATGTTCCTCGTGATGAACATTTTTCCGTTTTCTGTTTTTAGATACTGCGAGACGTCTGATTTCTTTGCGCTTCTGTTGCACGACGGATTTCATTAAGCTGGGAAAGTATACAGTAGAACTCCGTTTATCCGACATAGTAGATGTCAGGAACGTTGCTCCTATTATCCGCTTCTAGTATACGCGACATACCGATTACACGACATACAGTAGATTCTTTGCAATTGCCAAATTTCGGATTGCTGCGAATTTCACTGTGCTAGTCCTATGTCTATGTAATTTGTTGCTTCGTCAATGAAGTCGGTCAAGCGTGCGATGCGGCACGCGACGCGATTCCTGGAAGACAGCACAAAATGGTCAGGTAAGAAAAACCGCGGAGCTACAAGGTACGTGGCAAGTACTAGGTATGTGACCGTTGAATCGTGGCATGTGGCCTCTGAATTGCCTTCTAATCGTGTCATGTGGCCTCCGAATTGCCTTCGAATCGTGGCAAAAAATTAGAAATAACTAGTTAAGCCATTGTTTTTATTCTAGCATTACTATCTATTCATATTAGTGCAGTCATGCTGGCTGCAGCGTTTTTTTTGTCGACTGCCCCGAGTTTCTATAAAAACGAGCCGCGAGACCCGAAGAATTGCGACTTAGTATTCTCAGATCTGCCAGTTTCAATTCCGACCTCCGAACATTTCTGAGAGAAATTACTGTACTCACATTGTGATTATGTTATATCCAATGTTATATTCACGAGGCAAGGAATTAATTGTTTAGCCCTTTTTTAAGCTAATAATCTCAAATTTCTAATAAAAAATTTCAAATTTTTTATCAATACAAAGCACCATTCTTTTTCTCTTTTCGTTTGATTTGTGAGAAGACATACTGAGAATATATTAGGTCTACTGGAAAGTTCTGTCCGTTTTTGAATTGAAATATAACACAATTTTCATACATTTAATAATATTTATTGTAGAATATACTTTCCATCGTTACTTATGACTTCTTGCCAGCGTGATGGCAACTTGTAAATGCCATTTTTAAAAAATGATTTATTTTTAGAGGCGAAGAACTCAACCAGTGCTTGGTTGACATCAGCTTCAGTTTTGAATTTTTTTCCTGTAAAAAGTTTTGCAAAGAGAGAAACAAGTGATAATCGGAGGGTGCTAGGTCTGGGGAGTATGGTGGATG